GGGTTTGAACCACCAGCCTTCTGGTTAGCAGTCAAGTGCCTTAGCCACTATGCTACCAGAGCTCCCGATTCAACTCATATGTCTGTCTTTTATTTGGCTGGAAACCACAGGTGTGGGTTCCATTCCAGACCTGAAGGGCAGCTAGGGGCTATAGTCTCAGGGGTTCCACCAGGCTCTATCAGACCAGCAAACTTGGTGTCCCCCCCTCCTTTTTTTTTCCCCAAATGATTTTGAGTTTTGTTCCACACTGTTCTCCCTTTCTATCCAGGATCTCCTACACAGATGCCCCCCTCCAAGTGGTTGACAGGGGTAGCTGGGCACCATCTAGTTCTTCTGGTCTCATAGTCATACAGGCTACGGATCGCATGGTGTACCATTCACTAGGACTAACTGTTTCCATGAATCTTTAGTTTTCTTCATTTTTCTTTGCTCTGGATGAGTAGAGGCCCATTGTTACATATAGATGGCTGCTTGCAAGCTTTTATGATCTCAGTCGCTACTTGCCAGAGTAGGAGGTGAAACAATGTTTTCTGTAGTATGTTACGCCACTTGAGCTTGATGCCCCCTGTGACTATGGTCCTGAGCCCACCAGTTCAACTACTTGGTCCCTCTGGGTAGCTGGCTGTGACCAAGGAGTGAATACATACTTGTCCCTTGTCAGCTCTACTATACACCTGGGAATTCTTACAGATTATACAAATACCCTTATAGGATCACTGTCTGCCAACCCTATACATGGTCTTGGGTACACTCCCTGTTTCAGAGACAAACCTAATAGTTTAGCCTGTCCACCCATCTATCCACTTGTATACCTATGTTTGTCTTCACTGACAACGCAGTGCTGTATGTGCAAAAGGATTCATCTTTGTTGCCTATATATACCTCCCATGTACCTCTCTATGTCTTCTTCTTCCTCAATGCCACCATGTTGATCACTCACATTTGGTACATTGCCATTCTCTTCACCCAAGTTTTCTTTAGTAACTACAAACCTCCCTTCCTATCACAAACGTACATACAACACACAGACATGTCTGTATATATATGTGTGTAGATACACTCATACACCCAATAATAGATATATAGATATCTATTATGTTTAAAGGATTTAAAATTGATTGGAGGATATAACTCTACTTTTACTTTAGTCTAACACTCATGGAAGCAGCAGTCAAGAAATCAAATGACAGACTGCACTGGGCAAATCTGCCACAAAAGACCTTTTTGAAGAGTTAAAAAATAAAGATGTCACTTTGAGGACTAAGGTGCATCTGACCCTAGCCATGGGTTCCAGTCGCCTCATATGCATGTGAAAGGTGGACAACGAATAAGGAAGAGGAAGGAAAATTTGATGCCTTTAAATTACTGTACTGATGAAGAATATTGAATGGACCAGAAGAACAAACAAATCTGTCTTGGAAGAAGTACAGCTAGAATGCTCTTTAAATGCGAAGATGGTGAGACTTTGTCTCACATATTCTGGACATGGTATCACGAGGGAACAGTCCTTGAAATAAGGCATCCTGCTTGGTGAAGTAGAGGGTCAGTGAAAAAGAAGACACTCAACAAGATGGGTTGATACAGTGGCTGCAAAAATGGACTCAAACATAGGAACAATTGTGAGGATGACATAGGACCAGGCAGTGTTTTGTTCTCTTGTGCATAAGGTCTCTTTAAGTTGGAACTGACTCAATGGAACCTAACAACACTCATTATCAATAATTAATTTAATAAATATTTTTAAGTAAATGAATTCATTCATTCATCATTCCCTTTCTACTCACCCCTAACTCTGTTTCCTCATGTAACACCAACATCATTCTCTTAGATAGCCACAGTAAAAATCTCTGGCATGTTTAGCTATTCTCTCACTGTATTTCCTCACTCCTAGTGAACTTGGTCACTACATCTTGATTCTACCTTTTTCGGCAATGCAGTTCTAGCTTAATACATCACTCTGTTTATTCAAGCTTTCCATTAATTTATCCAATATTCTGGTCCTTTGTTCCCACTAAAATCACAGAAATATTGCACCAGGCATAGATGAGCTATAAACAAAAGAAATGTGACCCTGTCCCTATAAAGTTCCAGATCTAGTTTAGGCCCGCCCATATCTTTTTTTTTTTTTTTTTTAAGGATTATAGCTGTAACTATTCTGTTTTCTGCTCTGTCTCAATATCTATACTCTGCATTTACATTGCACCATGCCATCAAAGTTATTTTCTAAATTACTGTAATTTTCTTTTTGAGTGTTTATCAAATTCTTTGAACATGCATGAAGTATTACTATCATTTTTCTTTCTTTTTTTTTTTTTTTTACAACAGCTTTATTGAGCTATAAGGAGCTCTGGTGGTGCAGTGGTTAAAACATTCAGTTGCTAACTGAAAGGTTGGCAGTTCAAACCCACCAGCTGCTGCATGGGAGATAGATGAGGCTGTCTGCCAAAAAGATGTACAGCCTTGGAAACTCTATGGGGTAGTTCTACTATCCTAAAGGGCCACTATGAGTCAGAATTGACTCAGTGGAAGTGGGTTTGTTTTGTGGTTACTGAGCTATAACTCAATGACTTAATATAAAATTCACTCTTTCAAACTCTACAACTCAAGGTGTTTTTGTATACATAGAGATAGTTGTGTAACCATTGCCACTCTCCCATTTTGGAATATTTCCATCACCCTAAAAAAAAAAACCCATATCCAATAGCAGTCACTTCCCATACCCCTTTTTTACCACATTAATTACTTTTACAAGTAAGAAAATGCTTTTTTAAAACTAGACATAGGTTGTTGTTGTTGTTACAAACATAGGTAGTCAACAAAATATACTCATGGATGACGCAGAATAGAAACATTTCTATTTTTTATACACTATAGAAGTTTTTTAAGGAGCTCTGTGGTGCTGTGGTTAAAGTATTAGTAACCAAAAGGTCAGTGGTTCAAACCCACCAGCTGTACCATGGGAGAAAGATGAGGCAGTCTGCTTCCATAAACATTTACAGCCTTGGAAACCCTTGGTAGCAGTCCTACTCTATCCTATAGATCGCTATGTGTCAGAGTTGACTCAATGCCAGTGGGCTAACACAAGTTTTAAAAACTTAAGAACGAGTACTATGAAATCCTACTCTAGCAACTTGAGGTTAAAATGTTTTTATTTTGCTAATCAAATAAATACAAACTTAACTACATAAAGAGAACAATATGATGACCTGGTTGGCATGCTCTGTGGCCCATTCTTCATCCAAGTTGTCCGACTTAGCTTTGGGATGTCTGAAGCTGTCATCTTGTTCCTCTTTGGGTGGTGTTCTAGTGGCAAGAATCACATAATCTTTTTGTGAAGAACACTTCAAAAACAAATTAGAAAAACTATTAGAGTGATATCTGATTGAAGAACATATAGCTTTTATAGCATGCATCTAGTGACTAATACTTACAGCAAATATTTGTTAATACCTATATCATAATGGAAGGAAACCTGGTGGCACAAATGGATAAGAGCTTCGCTGCTAACCAAAAGGTTGGTGGTTCAAAAACACCCAGCAGCTCCACAGGAGAAAGACATGGCAATTTGCTTCCATAAAGATTACAGCCCAGAAAACCCTATGTAGCACAGTTCTAATCTGACACACAGAGTTGCTATCAGTCGAAAGCAACTTGGCGGCACCTAACAACAATAACATATCATAATGGAACCCACAGGGAAACCAATTTTCTTTATAGCCTTAGACATTTTCCCTACATGCTCTTCATCTTTTAATGTATGAATATGAGCTCCTTATTTATTTTGATACCTTGGATGTGGATCACACAGAGGTTCTTAAAAACGGCTTACTGAATGAGTAAAACAATTACATTAAATAAAAAGTAATCTGGTTAGTCATTTTTCTAGTCATTATATTTATTTTCTAAATAATTTGAACATAGTGGATAGTTCAGTAAATATAAAAACTCAGTAAAATAAAGCAACAAATGTTCTTGCTCATCTTTAGTTTAAATGATAATAGCCAATAAGAATTATGTATTATAAGTCATTTCAATGTGTATAAGAGAGAGGTTGCACATGTGTGTCCACAGAATATCAAAAAGGCATTCAGGATACACAATTAGAAGTGATAACAGATTCTATATTCTCCAGTTTTAATAGCAGTTAAATGGTAATCGAGATGAGAAATCCAAAGATAAATTTAGGAAACAGCTCAGTCACATTACGGTGGAAGTTTTTGTAAAGAAGAATAAAAATAAGGCTGATAAAGCACATTAGCATAGTGTCATCCTCATATATGACCTGAAATTTCCATCATTAAGTGTCATTCAGAGATAGGAGATAAACGAATGGTAATTATTTCTATAAAATTTATTTCTATAAAGTTATACTCAAATGTATACATGAAAGGTAGGTAGGGGCCAGTTAAAAAGCCACCTCCTTTTCATAAAATTAATAACTTTGAAAAGAAAGATATAGATCCTGAGAGCAGAAATTAGGCAAGCTGAGAGAAAGGAGAGGAAAGTGTTGACCCCTGAAATAAAGGGGAAGGAAAAGCATGTAGATGACTTGAAAGAATGAAAGGCAAAAAGAAGGGCTGGATAGAAGGCCCCATATTGTGAAAGACTTATTTATAAGATGGCACTTTGCTGAGTTCCAGAAACAGCCTACACGAAAGGGGGTCTTCCTCCCTGAACTTTTACCTTTACTGACCACATCTTTCTCTGTGGTTCTTCCTCCCTTAAATTTCTAAAATAAAAGGAAGTAAAACACTGTAATTAAAAGGTTCCTAACAAGAGCCTAATTTTAGATACTAAGAAGCCTGCATCTAGAAGTTTAGATTGTTGCCAAGACAGGCTGTCTGGCTGTCTACTCAGAGTCTTAGAGTGGTACTACCTGAGTGAAGGTAGTCTTGCCAGCTAAGCAATCTGATTTATGTAAGTTCTGAGACTGAACCTGTCTCTCAAGGCTGGACTGCCATTAACTAAGCTCATTCAGAATCATGTAGGAAAGCAGAAGACTATGAAACGGTCTGAACACAAGTCCTCTGGGCAGTCCATTCTTTATTAAGTAAATAGGTAACATGGTGCATCAAATTATAAGAGAAAGTCACTTGGGAATGTGAATAAAATCAGAATAAGAGTCACTCGGGCAATTTGTATGTTCTAAAGCATCAGTCTAATGAACAGAGAGAAAATTGTCAGAGTAGAGTTTATTTGCTATTAGCCCTCAAAATCAAGCTCCTGGGCCACAGTTTACTCTCCCCTAAACAGTGTTTTAATAGAGATAGCCAATTTGCTGTGTGACTCTTTTTCTTTCCTTGGTACTGTTGACTAGTTAGTCCTCTGTAATGATTAACATATTTTTCCTTCAATTATAATAAATCGGTGGGTGCTTGTGCTTTTAAAGTAATTGCCAAAATCTCTGCTACATATTGTGTTGATTTTTAAGGTTGACTTCTAAGAAAACAAACCAAAGCCCACTGCCACCAAGTCGATTCTGACTTATAGAGATCCTATATGACACAGAGTAGAATTGCCCTAAAGGGCTTCCAAGTTTGTAAGTCTTTATGGAAGCAGACTGCCACATCTTTCTCTTGTGGAGAGACTGGTGGGTTTGAACTGCTGACTTTTTCTTTAACAACCGATCATTTTACGACTGAGCTGCTAAGGCTCCTTTTACTTCTAGGAGAGAAACAGAATTAGCCTAATCCTCTATTCCCCTGCCTTCTCTCCCTATTAAGTCAACATTTTTAAAAGGAAAGAAAGAAAATCGGTAAGGTGAATATTATAGCACGTTAACAACAATAAAATCACTGTCACAACAGGTCAGAGATAAGACAGAGCAGAATGGGAATAAAATGATCAAAAACTATTTTCTTAAAGAATTGGATAACCAGGAATTTATAAAGAGTAGAAGTGAGTACGGGAGCTCTGGTAGCATAGTGGCTAAGACACTTGCCTGCTAACCAGACGGCTGGTGGTTCAAACCTCGGAAGGAAGGTTGGGCAATCCTACTTCCGTAGTGATACTGCCTCGGAAACCCAAGGAGGGGTCGCTATGAGTCAGGGCTGACTCGATGGCACATAACAACAACAACAACAGAAGTGAGTACAACACACTTTGGAAAAACAAGTTGTACAAATAAGCTGTTAAAATTCTAATTTTGAGTTTCTATATAATAAATTTCTTTCCCATTGCCAATAAGGAAATATGTTCTCACTCGAGCAAACCTAGCCTAGGTTTGTCCTACTTTATGTTTTCCCTCAAGGGTCCACTTTAAATTTACTTCTTCTGTACCATACCCCTCCACTCCCCAACCTTTAGTTTATTGTTAGAAAGGCATAGTATAACTTTTAATAAACAAGCCATTTATTTTATCAATAAATGCAAAATAAAAGATACATACCTGTCCTATTAAAAGGCCAGAAACAAAATCCTTTCCTTGCAGACTAATGTTTGAAAGATACTGGCCAACAGCCTCTTCTACAATGTAGGTTCTTCCCATTATTGAGTTAACAAAATTTTCTAAATTACAAGGAAAAACATTTAATTTTTAGTAAAAGTACATTTTTCAATTTTTTTTTTTTAAATCACATAGGTAGTGTGGAGCTAGAAATCATGCCTTGCAGTGATTGTATATAGAAAAGTGCATGCTTACTTGCAAAGTTCAAATGTACCTTCAGAATTCTCAGGAAACAAAGGCCAATCAAAGTTGGTATGAGGGATCAAACCTATTTTCCTTACCTAAAATAAGGGAGAAGACACTAAGCTAGATTTCAACATACCTGTTTTCTTTCTAGAGATCTACTACTCCTTAGCTGGGAGCTCTGATAGCATAGTGCCTAAGGCACTTGACTGCTAATCAGAAGGCTGGTGGTTCAAATCCACCAGCCACTCCTCAGAAGGAAGATGGGGCAATCTACTTCCATAGTGATACTGCCTCAGAAACCCAAGGAGGGGTCGCTATGAGTCGGGTCCAACTCAGCGGCATATAATAACAACAACAACTCCTTAGCTGTGTAATTTTTGATAAGCTATTGCTAAACCTCACTATTCTCATTTCTAAAATAAGAAATATGATAATTTCTGATTAACTAGCTCACTAGTAAATGGAGAGAATCCTTTACTCCATAAGCATATATATGCTAGAAATTGTATAAGAAAAGATGGCACAAAGAGTAACACTTGGTCATTACCCCTGAATAAGTCATACCACCCTCACAGCTATATTAAGTAGATAAACAGAAATGCAATTAACAGTACTTACGTAGCTTCTACTTTGTAAACCAAACAGTGTTTTAATAGACTCAACTGCTGTTGAGTCGAGTCGATTCTGACTCATACCCCTCCTTGGGTTTCTGAGGCGGTATCTCTATGGAAGTAGATTGCCCGATCTTTCTTTCGAGAAATGGCTGGTAGGTTTGAACTGCCAGTCTTCTGGTTAACAGTCAAATGCCTTAGGCACTATGCCACCAGAGCTCCCTTGTATAATGCCTTTTTCTAAGTGTTTTATATGTGGTAACTCATTTAACATTCCTAAAACTCCATGAGGTAGGTACTATTATTATAACCCTATTTTATAGATAAAGGAACTCAAACAAAAACAGATTAAATAACTTGCCCAAGTGACAAAGCTGGAAAGTGACAGAGGTGGAATTTAAACTCCTGAAGTCAGACTCCAGATTCCATGCTCTTACACACTATGCTCATACTGAGGAATCACACATGGTCCCTTAAGTTAATCATTATTAAGAGTAGGAGCTCTCGTGGCACAGTGCCTAAGAAGGTTGGTAGATCAAACCAACCAGCCACTCCATGGAAGGAAGATGGGGCAGTGGGGGTCACTATGAGTCGGAATCGACTCAATGACAGTGAGTTTGATTTGGTTTTTGGTTTTAAGAGTAGCTGCTATCTGCTCTTTCCCCAGTCTGGGGATGAAAACTAGTATGTTCACCCTACTGGATTATGCTCCTATGATTTGAGTTTCTGTACCTTAAAATCAAATATACTGACTAAAAGAGCTAGGCAATTATGAGTAATGTTTTCAAGGAGTTCATATTCAATGTGAGAGGCAAAAATGTAAACAGATATTTTTTAAAAAGCTATAAAATAGACATAACCAGAAAGACTATGGTAACACAGCTGCAAATTTTTGAGCTATATATTTAAATATGCTTTCCTGGGAGATAAGTCATTTAAGGTCTCGTAAATAATTTAAGTCTTATTCAGGACCACAAAGTCAAGACTGCTGTCCATGTGCTAAAAGCAAACTGCCAGTCACAGAGAGCTGGCATTACTCTAAAACTAAAAAGCCCAGAGACTTAGTTCAAGCTTCAAATAGCACAGTGGACACTGTTTTCTCAAAGAGCCTGTTCAGTTTTGTCTCAAAATGCATTAATTTTTTCCTTGGTCTTTTCTGACAACTGTGCAAGTAAAACTGGTTTGCATTCTGTTTATTAAACAAAACTGAGCCTAGAATTGCTTGTCTAATTCATTCATGCCTCAACAGAGGTTAAGGATTTTCACTTTCATCAGTGACTTAAGGCATACATTTTTGCATATTAACTTTTCCCTACTTCACTGTGTTCCTTATCCTTTTACCCTATTAATTCTTAATTCTTTCAAGAAATAGTAAGTGAAAATACTGTGAATCTAGTAGGCATTACAATACTGCATGTATCAACAACTTTAAAGTACTTATGTTGTTGTTGTT